CAGTAAGGTTGCACTTAAATCTGTGATTAATTTGAAGAAACAAATGAGAGTATTTGGGAATAAACCCTAGCTCCTCAGTGGTTTATCTATTGAAAAGCTCTTAGCCTCTAGTATTTCTTATTTTCTATAGTTTGTCTGTGTTCCCTGATGCAGAGTATAGTGCGTGCTCATGAGAATATAGTTCCTGCACGGCTGTTCTTTGGACAAACACGAGTGTCAGGCGTACAGAAGAACCGCTCGCCTTTTTCGTACGAAAACAATCCTGCTGAGGAGAGGGAACGGTAAATAAAACTCTAACAATAACAATAAAATGAAATCCGATATGATATTAAATTAAGACAATCTTAATCTAGCTACTACAAATTAATAGTCCACTTTAATTTACAATGTATCTTGTAGCTACGACGGCAACACAGACGCAGTGTTGACACAAGTGCGCATAGAGCGTGAAGACGGCAGTGTGCACGGCGCATTGACCTGGTTCCCGTTGCACGCCACCAGCATGAACATGACCAACCGCCTCATCTCCGCAGACAACCTAGGCTATGCGGCTGTCCGCTTGGAGAAAGAACTCAATGCTATGTACCCAAGTCGGAGGGTGAGACTAAAATAGTGCCATACGAGCTTTTCGCCTTTGTAACTTCTCTTCAAAGTAACTGTAAATCAGAAAAAGATCTCAGAACTAGCCTGTGCTAATGATAATCTTTGCTTGTTTCTTCTTGTTTTATCTTTGTGGAATTCTTAAGTAAATACATTTGAAAACATGCTTGCAAGAAGAGTCTAGTGACTCCATGTTTTAATTTGCTCACTCCTATTAATCCTCATTGCAATCCAATAATTTCCATAATTTCCAGCCAATTGTAGCCGGGTTCTTCCCCGCGAACCTGGGAGATGTGTCGCCCAACACGCAGGAAGCACGCTGCGAATTCAGCGACAAGATTTGCGACAACCAGTTCGTGTTGTGTGACCGCATGGAGCGCTGCTTCGCCGGCGGACCTGGCAAAGATATGTTTGAGAGCACACAGATTATCGGTACAGCGGTGTTTGAAGCTGCTTTGGTAAGTTATTGGCACAATTGTGAAATCAGTATTCTCTGGCTTATCTTCTGCGTTTACTATATTTTATAACATACTTCTAGACTACATTATCATGATTTTTTTTAAGATTGGAGATAAAATTATAATTTTTTTTTTCATATTCTAGGAGGTATTGAGCAGAGATGGTACAGAACTGAAAGGTGATTTGGCCGTAATGCATCAGTTTATCAACGTGCCGGAAGAGGTCGTGCCCAAGTACGACCCTGTCAACAGGAGATTTATTACTGTAAATATTTACTTTCTGTTTTTTTTCGATACAAAAGTATTTTAGAAATTAAAATGGTATTTTTATTAACGTAGAATGAACCAGTGAGAGGCTGTAAACCAGCGCTAGGCTACAGCTTCGCCTCGGGCACTACAGATGGCGCTAATGTATTTAATATAACTCAGGTAACTTATTAACATCAGATATTATTTTGTTAACAAAATCTTACTAATATTATAAATGCAAATGTTTAGGTGAATAGATGGATGTTTGTTACTATACATGTCTCTAGAACGGCTAAACAAATCTCGCTTAAATTTGGCGTAGATGTAGAACATAGTCTGGAAGAACACATTTGCTACTTATTAAGTTTGTTTTTTAATCCTCGCGGACGGAGTCGCGGGCGACAGCTAGTATTTTATTATACAAGACAGATGGTCCTAAGCATTTTTCAAACCGCTTCAATCGACATCGTTTGTGCAAACAAAGGAATAGAACTCGACCAAAAACCATTTTTTACTTGTTGGTCATATAATCATAGTTTTTCACTGTCAGGGCACATTGACTGGCGTCCCGGAGCTGGACGGACTGCTGGGCGCTATCATGAGCCCAACAGTGGAGGACATCGAGTGTCACGCGCCTAAACCTATCTTACTCGCCACGGCGAGGGTGAGTGTGGAATATGTATAAAACAAATTCGTCAAAAATGCATTTAGCTGGCTGAGTATGGGTAGTAATTATTAATAATTTTAACTATTCCAATTCAAATAAGTATGTCTCGCTGCAGTCTTGAATAAAAGAGTAATAAATTAAACATAATTCTAGCTATTGTTTTGTTTAAGAGTGAGTTTCCACTGTTTCACTGTTTTTAAAACGACAGAAACAACAAGTGTTATGTCTGGTTTAAATTATGCTAATAACGTTGGTCTGTCTTGGACTGTTTTTGCAAACTGAACTATAAATTAACGATATATTGAGTCAGTTTTTATTTGCAGGCAAACTCAACAATCCCGTGGCACACACAGATAGTGTCGGCGACAGTAATCTGGCTGGGGGGGTTCGCGGTAGCGGGAGTTCCGGGGGAGCCGACCACTATGTCCGGCAGAAGGATCCGCGATGTACTCGGTGACGTGATGCGCGCTCGAGGATACCAACCCAGGGTCGAAGTCATGGGACTTACAAATGAATATATACATTATATTAGTACTTTTGAGGAATATCAGGTTACTTGGATTTTTATTTATTTTTATTTGTTTTTACTTACATACTGCCATTGCTTTAATCAACTTTGAACAATTTAGAATTATGACTTCATTTTTTTTTTTTAAACAGGTACAAAGGTATGAAGCCGCATCAACGCTGTACGGACCTCACACACTCGAGATTTTACTGAACAAGTTCGCTGAATTAACCACCGCTGCTATTGATGTAATTGTTTCATTAACTCTATAGCAAGATATACGTCTTTTCAAATATGTTGACAGCTCAAGGTCATGTGCGCTGCGTAGTGTCCTTCCCCCTCGCATCCCGCTACTACCTAATACACCTAACATTGTGTTCTCCGCAGCAACTCGTGCAATGTTCCGAGCCAACAAGATATATGATAACCTATATATACCTGTCTTCATCGTTAATATCTTCTAGTTTCAATGTTGTATCACGAATCTGAAAACCAACTTTTAAGATACAATACTGCATAAAAAATTCTGTGTAAACAAGTAAAATGTAATTCCAGGGCGGAGTTGTCGATCCCGGTCCGGAGCCGGAAGACCACAGAGAGAATGCGTCCTCTCTTCTGCCGCCCGTCATCCTGGACGCCACGCCTATCGGCAGAAAGTTTGGAGACGTCTTGATATCCCCTCCCACTATTGTCAGAGTAGGAGACGTTGTCAGCGTCGCTTTTGTAAGTACACCACGACAAAAGATTCCACCTATTTTCGTACAAAATGACAATTGTACGAACATACGTGGAATATTCTTTGATGGAAATAAAGAGATAAATTCGGGCATTGGGCTTTTTTGACTACATCTTTTTTTGGCAAATTATGGTTTGATTCCTTTATCATACAACAGACTTTTGAGATAATTTAACCAGTGTAAGTTACACTATTACACATCAATTATAATGTTTGTTCAGGTCGCTGCCAACCCTCGCAATGACATCCGGCAGGAATCTTCTCACGCAGACGTGGAGAGGTACGAGGAGGGTGAATGGTTCACCGTCGCCACTGACGCTGACTGGGAAACCAGGTTAGTTGTTATCCAGCTTTTAATATTGCTATTTTAGTGTGTATTTTAAAACAAATTGGCTCTTAAAATCTCTTTGTTTCAGGTTCCATTGGGAGCGCATATCCAGTATATTCGGTACGAGCCGAGTGCGTTACGAGTGGCACGTGCTGGCCGGCACCAGGCCCGGCACCTACCGTATCGTGTACCGCGGCGCCTGGCGGAGCATCGCCGGCTTCATTACACAGTTCACAGGGGCCACCGACACCTTCATAGTTCAAAGTTAACCTTAAGATTAGTACCTGCTAGTTAATTAAATATTAGAAATTAATAGTCTTTTATTTAATTGTTCACTTATTACTTAACGATAAGTTAATATGGTGTTTAATAAATAAAGACCTCGTTGTTGGGAGTTAAGTCATTTCAGCAAAGCTGAATATTTGTCATAATCTTACTAATATTATAAATGCGAATGTTTAGATGGATGGATGAATGGGTGGATGTTTGTTTAAGGGTATCTCCAGAACGGCTGCATAGATCTCCCTGAAATTTGGCACAGATGTAGAAAATATTCTGAAAGAACAGATAAGCTACTATTTAAGTTTTTTTAATACGACGCGGACGGAGTCGCGTGTGACAGCTAGTAAAATCATAAACAGAATACGAAACTTGTTTTAAATGATATAAGACACGTATGTAACAATGAGTTTGACATTTCAAGGTTATAAAAGCAAATGTACTGAACGCAGCGACACCGCAAATAGATCTTCCGTCTTCGAACTGAGCAATTTATTCTCTAGTGATGTACCTGCTAAATCATTTAAATATCGAAATGCAAAATTCTGATGCCAAATAACTGATATATATCTTTATATATATATAATTGTTCTGTGCGTGTGTATGTCACTGAACTTCTCTCAAACGACTGGAGCGATTTAGATGAAATTTTTTGTGTGTGTTCAAGGGGATCTGGGAATGGTTTAGATTGACAATTTTCATCAAATATTAACTTCATATTAATTTATTCAAATTAAAGACGTGTAGACAGGACAACGTCTGTCGTGTTCGCTAGTATATATATCGAGTGTGAGTGAACTCAAAGTGTACTAGACTGCTTTAACCAATTAAAAAAATAACCAAATCTTTTAATTCGTAATTTATACTATTTATATTATTATTATTTCGGTTTTAAAATCAAAATGGTTGTATAAAACATATCACTATCCCAGTTAATAAATATCTTTGATAAAATCGATATACCAATATGTAAACTAGAGATATTAATTTGTCTTACTGTCCATCCTTAGTACACCTAATGTTACACTGTCACAATGACCGAAGTATCAATATCATCTAGAAATAAACTTAACTACCCATATAATAAGGTGCATATTACAAAATACATATCAACTGTATTGAGTTTTCCCTTTACAATTCGAAGACTAGTCTCACGTAAGAATAAGCAAAGGGAAGTGCTTCAAATAGTAAATCTTAATTTCGTCGTAAAATAAATAATATGTTTTTAAAATATGTAGTTTAAAAGCTATATAATTTTAGTTTTAGTTGTGTTAACGTCAGTGAAGAAATATCACATGTAAAAAGGTATGTATTAAAGATAATGAGATGTTAACTTTGTTGTTATCTAAATGAAAAGAATAGTTAATTATGATATTGCCCAGTTATAGCTTACAACTTCACTGACATCGCCGTAACTCTTAAAATTTGGATAATCAGATGGGCAGTTAATCCAAAAGTTAACTTAGTTAATTGTTAAATAAAAAAATAATTTCGTTAATTAACGATTAACAGATTAAAGATTTAATGCTCACCTTTGTAAATAATCAAATGATACAGTTTCTAACAATATAAATGTTTAATAATGGAAGGTTGAGTGTAATTGGTGTGTTCTATAAAATAAACTAATAAATTTAACATAAGTAAATGCTGACGCCCAACTTCCATTAAATTGAGAAGTACCTTGAAAGAGAGCGAATGAAAGTTTAAAATAATTTAGTTAAATAAAAGAAATATACTATTATAGGTATATTAGAGGAAGTTTGAAAGTAGCGCCAGTGATCGAGAAATTTACGAGTAAAAGATTAGAGTGGTTTGGACATGTTATGCGGAGGGATGATGATGATATAAGCAAAAAAGTAATGAGATTGAATGTGGATGGCTACAAGGGTAGGGGAAGACCAAAAAAAGTATGGAATGACTGTGTGAAAGAGGATATGCGTAGGAAGGGGGTAGATTCGGATATGACAGCTGATAGAGATGTATAGAGGAGTAGTACATACTTTGCCGACCCTCGATAGGAATAAGGGCAGGTTGATGATAATGAAAAGAAATAGACGGATAGTCCCTACCCTAACGATAAATATTAGTAATCAGGTAAATACCAAATATTTAAATTACAAAAAGACCAATTGATATATTTTGGTAGCAGTGTAAGTACGCGTTATGTAATAAATGTTGGTATTATGTAAAAGAACTCGATAAAACAATTTTTTTTTTATCTTCATGTGAATACGACAATTTATTTTTAATCAAGGGTCATCATCTTTACACTAATAAATGAAGAACATAACTTGATAAGATTGTTTGAGACATAAAATTTTATCTTTCTTATGTTCTCGTTACTGCAAAGCGAACGGACGTACGTTACGTTATTTTTTATCTGTGGTTATAAAAGTTATGTATTAAATTGTTATTGATCTTAAATTTTATCAAGTTTTAAGGTTGATAAGGATTAATATTACATTTTGCGTTTGTGAATTTTGTTAGGAAATTATTTAAGGTTATAACTATTATTAAACTATCTTACCATTGTGTTATGCGTTTGCGTTGATGTTTTATTTATTTATTGTTTGCGTAAATGCCTTTTCAATATCTTCCTGCTACTATGGCTATAAGATTTTTGCTTAAGAGTTACAAATATGAAATGATTATGTTATAGATATGATACGAAAGAATTCAGTTGTTCCAAAAAAGTCCGTTTTTATTAAACATTTTAACAATAATTTCTGACATTACATACAGTCGAAAGTAAACGAGAGTCCAAACGATCGCGATATTTTAACATGGTTTTAAAATTGATGTATATAATGTCCGTTCCAGTATCAAGCCATGGCTGGTCGGAAGCCAGTGACTAAGAAGGTGATCAACTCGCCGGAGACGTGTGTGGATGACAACTTGCGCGGTGTGGTGGCAGTGTACCCCGCGCTCAAGTTGCATCCCAAACATCGTGTTATTACTGTCCGGACCAAGGTACAATGTCAAATGGAATTAACAGATTCAAACTTTATGGTCGCCTGTTACAAACTGCCAGCGCATGTCATCGTAGATAGGCTCCGCCCCCGCATTGTTTTAAGTAATTGATTGTTTTCAGAATGATACTGGTAGAGTAGCGGTGCTTGGCGGTGGAGGATCCGGTCACGAACCTTTTGCTGCTGGTAAGTTTTACACATTTTTAGAGTTAAAGGCACTGTTAAAACAAATACGTTCGTAATCCGGTTGTGGAAGAGATTAGTTTATTTTTGGTGATATCTTGACAGTTGTTTCTGCATGCACATGTTAAACATCACATAATGTTCGTCTGTTTGTTGCTTAAATAATAAGTATGTCAGGTATGGTGGGTAGCGGCATGCTGGACGGCGCGGTGGCGGGCGGTGTGTTTGCCTCGCCTCCCACCGGACATGTGCTGTACGGCATCGCACATCTCTACAAGTATAACTCAGGTATGAGACGCTGCGAGCGCTTTTCTTTACTCGAAGTGGGATCTGGGATCAAACTCCGTAAACGTTCTCAGCTAACAATGAGCTGACGTTAAATTTGAATCTTATAATAACCTCGAAAGTCTGAAGTTTTGTTTATGTCAAATTATCCGCAGAGAAATATTAGTAAATTTTTTTAACAGAGTTCTATTTGTGATTATGAATACTATCAAGTTGAACAAGTCTAATAAACATTGGACATGAAAGATTTCTAAGCTGTTATAATATTTGGTAGGTGGCGTGCTGGTGATCATCGGGAACTACACAGGCGACAGACTGAATTTTGGCAAGGCTATAGAGAAGGCAAAGATTGCTGGCATAAAGGTTAATATTCGATTTTCAACCGTTTCTTTTGATTCAAATGATTTTTTATTAAATGTTCATAGTTTGAATGTTGTTCTTTCAGGTGGAAGGTTTGATAGTGGGCGAGGACGTGGCGTCCAGTCAGAACAAGACGGGCGGTCGTAGTATGGTCGGGGAGGTCATCTTTTATAAGGTAACCTATAACGCAAATATTTAGATAGATGGATGGATGGAAGGTTTGTTTGAAGGTATCTCCAGAACAGATGGCATAGATGTAGAACATAGGCAGGATGAAGACATAGGCTATTATTTTTTTTTAATTTCGTGCGATCGACTTACGGTCTGTGGTAGGATTACAACTGCTGGACACAAAATCTATTGAATTGAATTATTTTAATGTGTTTTCATGTTATTCAGTTGTGCGGTGCGATGGCTCAGAAAGGGTATGAGCTGGTAAGCATCCGTGATATGGCAGCTGAAGCCAACAAGTACATGGCCACCCTCGGTGTCTGTCTGAGCGCTTGCTCCCTACCAGGTGAGACACCTCATTACACTAGTCTTTACTTTTCTGGTGCAGTGAGTATTAGGCTCTGACACTAGAGAGCGCCACAAATTTAAAGACCAGTGTGACATTGACAGGTCAGCCACCGCTGTTCGAGATCCTGTCTGATGAAATGGAGCTGGGGGCGGGGGTGCATGGAGAGGCGGGCATCCGTAAAATGAAGCTCGGCACTGCAAGGGAAGTCGTCGCCATGATACTTGACCAGGTAATTATCAATTTAAAAGTAGTTTAAAGTTTGAGAACCTGATTGATTGATTAGTACATTTTAAATGATATCGACTTCTTTTGTTAGGTAATAGATCATTTGAAGTTGAAGGCGGGAGACAGAACAGCAGTCACCATTGACAACCTGGGCAGCACCTCCTTCCTGGAGATGAACATCATCAGCGCAGAAACCAAAGATTACTTAGGTAGGGTTTTTGAGGAGTAGAGATAGTTCAGTGTTTGTAGAAAATTTTCCCATATCTTTTTTAATCTACAGAATCCAAACAAATTGTTGTGGAGCGGATATTCTCCGGCCATCTCAAGACGTCGTTGGAGATGCACGGTTTCCAGATCTGCGTGCTGCATCTGAACAGGGAGCACGGGGACCTGTGGCTGGAGCTGCTCGACTTCCCCACGGACGCCGCCGGCTGGACAGGAGGCGTCGCGTCCCAGAGGGGCGAGGTGGACCACGGAGACGATCTTACCTTGCTGCAGGCTGATGGAAGGAAGGTAAGAATTTTCTTATTACATCTACATTCAGATACTCCCTTAGAGACTTTTGAAAAGACTGAGTATAAAAATACATAATTTGGTTTGAAAGACGCTACATTTTCTGTTCAGGTCAGATGTTTCTTCTAATGCTACTATTTCGTTCAGATGACATCAGGTCCATCTCTAGGCAGCAAGCAGCAGGCGGTCCTTAAAGCCAGTTTGACTGCGGCGGCGGCGGCGCTCGTTAAGAGCGAGGCGCTGCTCAACAGGCTCGACTCCGGCTGCGGGGACGGTGACTGTGGTATCACGCTCAAGAAGTTTGCACAAGGTATGGCGCTTTGAATGATGACATTACGTTCATGACTCACTCTCGCTGAAGGGCGAAAGCTTAAACAATGTATCTTGTAGCTACACTATCATACTTGGAGAACGCGGATCTGGAGCACCCGTCCAGCGTGCTGTGGGCGCTGTCGGAGGCGGCGGAGACTGACATGGGCGGCACCTCTGGTGGTATCTACAGCCTCGGTCTGGCAGCCGCATCACAGGCACTGGCTAAGTAAGTTACTGCACAAGCTCAAGTTTTCCAGACTGACAAGAGTAACGTCCTTCCAACCATTGACATAAATTACTCTTATTTACTACTTACTTAGTTTTCTTTGTCCGAAAGTCTTTTGAAGTATATTTTCTTTTGAACTGATCTGTATCTGAATCAACGTATCTTTTTAGTGCGAAATGTAATGACCCCGCGGCCTGGCTCTCGGCGTGGGAGCAGGCTATGGCTGCTATCACCAAGTACGGAGGCGCCGAACCCGGAGACAGGACTATGGTATGACGTGTATTTTTTTTAAATCAAAGAGACCAGCATTATTCCCTTTGAGTAAGTTTATAATAACCTACAGACTTTAACTTCTTTTTATTTTCTATGGCGTTCAGCCGCGTTTTACAATATCTTTAGAGTTTATCGTATTTATTATTTTCTTCTGAATACAGCTCGACACTCTGCACACGGCTGCGAGTGCGTTCAAAGCTAACCTCAACGCAGACCTGAAAACTTTACTCCAGAAGACCGCGGATGCTGCGGAAGTTGGCTGCCGAGCTACTGCCAACATGACGGCCAGGTAATCTAATCTTTCACTACGCCACCCGAAGTATTAATTTCCGCACTAAGGAGGACCTTTAGTGTAGATTTTTTTTATTTTAAATGGACTTTAAGAATTACAAAATAACTATTAGTAGTAAATTTTGCAAACATAATTTCCTCAACTTTATTATTGCTGTTTTATTTTTAACAATAACTGGTCTCTATAAATGGATAGGCGATTGCTTGGAACCACACCATCTACAAATCGCTACCATCGGCACCAAAATGACGAAAATGAAATAGGCACAAAGTACTATTTCTTATAGCCATTCCATTTATAGAGGTAGAGTTTTTATTTTTTTTAATTAATATTGTGTGAGGTGCAGGGCGGGACGTGCGTCGTACGTGTCGGAGGAGCACGTGAGCGGCGAGGACGCGGGCGCGCGCGCCGCCGCGCTCTGGCTGCGAGCTGTACTCGACTCTATTGCACAAGCATATTAAGCTTATATTACAATGAATACATTATTTTATACCAAAAAATAATATTAAAATTTAATTGATTTTTCGAATTATATTTATTTAAATAAAAATATTTTAAAGTTTTATTTTTTAAATAATTGAATGAAAAATGTTTTTATGTCAATCTTACTTCTTACTAATATTATAAATGCGAATGTTTGGATGGATGTTTGTTTGAAGGTATCTCCAGAACACCTGCATGGATCTTGCTGAAATTTGTCATAGATGTAGAACATAATCTGGAAGAACACATTGGCTTACTAATTAAGTTTTTTTAACACGCGCCCATGGAGTCGTGAGCGACAGTTAGACAAAAAAAAGACAAAATTTTAGTGATAAATTATTTATTGTTTAAAGTCATTCATTTGACATATTCGAATAGTAAGCATTGATATGAAATGTTCTAGTTCTTGTAGAAAAATATATTTGCCTATGGGATGGATATTTCTACCGAATTCGGCTGTTAAAAGTATTATGTTAGCTGTTATTGAAAATTGTTCTCTATCTCTTTGACATACGATTTAACCGACGACAATCGTATGATCTAAATTGTTAGTAATATAATAAATTATTGTACTGCCACTAAAAGTCCCACTCCGTTTGTTTCTCTATTTCCATCTCTGACATCTTCTCCTGCAGCAGCAGCGCCGACATGTCATCTGGTTTAGGATACCATAAAAACCTTATCATACATGTTATAAAAAGACTTTAAAATCGTTTTGGAATTACATATAACTAGCTTTGAAGCTAAAAAAAAAAAGAAATAGATTTAAGAGATATGCCACATGGGCGGTGTCGCGTCGCAAGTACTTTTGTTACAAAATAATTAATTTTTGTGTCATAATTTAATCTGTAACACTTACTAGCGTCTGGTTTGATTGGCTTCACTCTTCCGATGAGACTCGGCAAGAAATCTGTCTTCCTAATCTGCTTGAAGAATTGATGATTCAACATTTGAGTCGCTGATGGCCGCCGCTCGGGATCTCTGCGTCACGCACAAGTTTAAAAGTTTGAAAAGACATTGTTATTTCAATTATCAGATGTCACTGTTAGCACAAACCTCTGCAGCGCCATCTCGCTGAGATGATGAAAGGGTTCTGAGAGTTTGCGGGCGGCGTACACCTGCCGCAGTCGGCACACGCCGTCCGCACTGTCGCCAACACCACTGTCCGTGTTGTACATGCCTAATTACAGTTCCACACTTAAGTATCCACTTACTCAGGTCACGTAGTGCCACTAGACGTATGAAACTGTAAAAATTAGCTGTAAGCCAGCTTGACCGGTGCAGTACCCTCATGAAAAGAGGTGTTTTTAGTTCAAGTACTTTAGTAAAATCACTTTTGTATAATTATTATATCTCCATCCATCTTAATAAAGTAGATAGTTAATATAATGGAAAAGTATTCTACTCTTTATATTTCTTTTAATTAACATTAGCAATTGCCCGTGACTTTGTTCACAAAAGAATTAATAAAAAAATCTAATAATATATATTCTATTTCATCTGTAGATTGTTTAGCGGTTAGCGTCAGAGTTAAGTAGTTTTGGAGCCTATACAATGCAAACGATCAATTCTTTTTTTTATAATATTAGTATGAGATTAGAAAATATACTAACCAACAACTGGCTACCTTGAACAGAGACCAATATCTTTTCATAACATATAAAACAAATAAACAAATTGTACATTAAGACAAAATTTACTTACCATCCGATTCATTCCAAATTAAATCTGGTAAAAAATATGTTCAGATATTAAATTATATCTAACATATACAGCTAATACTATCACAAGCCACACAAATATAAAAATAATAACGTAAATACTCACTCTTCATCTCTCCGTCATCAAGTGGTTCCGGGAATGATGAACAGTCGAGGAGCTGAGGTCTGTTACCTCTCACTTTCTCAGTAAACATGAGAGTTGTGGGCACATCAGAGAATGGCACAGCACCATTGGCAAGTTCACAGCACAACACACCCAAAGAATAAATATCTGAACGTTCATCATAACCTTTTAAATTCTGCAACGGATAAAAAATTATTTTATACTAATACTATTCAATATTTATGTAAATACTAGCACTCGCCGGCGACCCCGACCGCGCGAAAAAAAAACATAATTAGTAGCCTACGTTTTTTTCAAGACTATGTTCTATATGTATGCCAAATTTCAATGAGATCCATTCAGCCGTTATGGAGATATATTCAAACAAACATCCATCCATCCTTCTATGCATCTAAAAATTTACATTTATAATATTAGTAAGATAAGATTTATTGACACACAGAGTAGTTAGTGCCCTTGGACATCTGCAAATGCAGATGCATTGCCCACTTTCAATTAACGGAGGCAATAACAAACAGAAACAGGTTATATTCATATGAGTCCCCTACTCTGTCAAATCTACTGCCCATTCCCATCCTTTCCTTTTAAGAAAAAGGTGAGGAGTAAAAGGGGACTATAATTAGGCGTCAAAGATGGAATACCACATATCCTGATAGTACCTATACATGATTTTTTTCAGTGCGCAGTTAAGATTTTTTTTATCTCCCTTAGAAGAAATAAGTAACATTCGAATTTACCTGTTCCAACAACTCCGGACTCAACCACATTAAATTTGCGTTATCATGGTCTGGTGGGGGTAGGTTGTGTAGCTGACGTTGCCTTCTACCTCGCACCATCATTGAAGCTGCACTTCGTAACCCTGACAGCTTCACACAGCCATTTGTATCAAGTAATACATGACTTGCACGCACACTTCTGAAATATTAAGAATTTTACAGAATTACATGCGGAAAGTATAATAAGATATATTCCGAATAGTTGTCGACTCCGTATGTGCGTCATTAAATAAAACGCCTATGTGTATTTCCAGGTTATGTTCTACATTAATACCAAATTTCATAAAGATCTGTTGAGCCATTCCAGAGATGCCTTCTAACAAACATCCATCCATCTTAACTTTCGCATTGAAAAATATTAATAGGATTGTCATTTCCGAGACCTAAAATCCTTGTCTAAAACACATTATCTCTGTTTTGTCAAAGATGAAAGTCAGGGATCAGGATATATTTTATTCAGGAATACAGAGTAAATGTATCAGAATATTAAACATACCTATGTATATATAACTGCTTATGTAGATACTGTAATGCAAAGAGTACATCTCTCAGTATGATGGCACAGGCTAGCTCCGGCAGCCCCTCTTGGAAGTATCGGTCCAGGACATCACGACATGAACCCAAACTCATCAGTGGAGATACAACATATAACTCTTTACCATGCACAAAGGAGGTCAAATATGATAATATATTAGGGTGCTGTAATTCCTTTCTTGTCAAGATATCTTGCTGGAAATTAGATAAATTTTCTTGCTTTTATATACACCGATTATTCTTTATTATTTGGAACCATTTATAAATGTAGTGTTTCTGAGATGTTTAAAAATTACGAATACCTGTATCAAATTAGCTTTCTCTTTACTTTTGTCCACGAAATATCTCTTGATGGCCACATTTTGGTTATTAGGTTTGTATAAAGCGGAATAAACTACAGCCACTCCACCACAACACTCTGCTACTATTGAAGTCAGTTGATATTCATTTATGTCGGGAATGTACATGGCAAGGCACAAAAGAAAAAAATATTTGACTCCTCAGTCTGTTTCAAACAAATTGCGCACTATTTGTTCAGGTTCCAACAGTTATAAAAACATTGTATTGTTATGTTTTTGTTCTAAAAATAGTAACTATTTAAAAGTAAATATCAACAAAATAAACCTGTTTTCAGCTATTCATGTGACAAGTAAGTTCAGAAACCACATAGCTTGACAGATAGAGATCACAAAAACAAGAATGTTACACGAAAAATTACAGCTACTGATTTTTTGTCACAAAACATATATTTTAAATTTCGTTTAATTTATAACAATTTAATTTAGTTATTTTTATTTTGCTTTCAATTAATCGTTAAAATGCGGTTTCTCAAACATGGTATTTGAACGCACACTGGTCCCAACAGATTAATAAATTATCACGGCCACAACATCTGGGATAAACAGAAATGTAAAAATATTATAATACAAGTTATATTGAGATTTTAAACTAGGTTATTAACTACTCATTTATCAGTCATGTCATTTTTTACATCGAATTGGCCTTAAACAAAACGTACGTTTAGACTGCAAAATGGTTTATTAATTTTAACACCGGTACTATTTTTTTTAACAATGCATAAATCTATTCACGTAATCTGTCGACAAAATGATTTTTACTTCGATACCATCACATAATGTAATTAAATTACAACAATTCTAGCTCAATTTTTACCGTCGTCAAACCCACATACCTCTCAAATGCATAGTTAAATAATCAAGTCCCCATTAAAGCAAGGCGCCTTGCGGTCGCGGGTAGTTTGTCCAAAACCTATTTCCTTGTAGAGTAATCAATATCCTATTCCGATCCCTCGACATGCGTATTGCAGCCCCATCAAAATAACTGCCATCACCGCATACAATTAACCCCACCATATTCCAATAGTGTTGGAAGTTGGACATGGCATGGGTTATCCTAGACGCCTCGACCCTTATTAGACCGATTTACCCTAATTTCCCGCATCACAAGTCTTTACGTTCCAGCAGTGACTCTTAATGACTATTATAATCTTTGACTTAGGTATTTAGACATTATTTTGTACGTATATAAGATATTTCGCTTGTGTTTTGGTTTCCTTGAAAATCATCCGTGTCAAGAAACTTGAAGAATTATCACGCATCGCTTCGTAGTGTGTTACTGCACACAAACACAACGCTAACAATCCCCCATATTGATATTACACTTCATAAGCAAAGGTTAAAGTTACCATTTAAGGGGCATAAAATGTTCAATATTTAAAAGTACGCCGGTCCCCTGTGGACTTGGACGACTGCCCGTCTGGACGCAATGCGCCATTCTGCTGTTTTGTAATACTGGAAGTTCTAGCTTGTACGAACCCCTCTGCGGAAAAGAAGTAATAAAAAACAAAAGCATGACGTCATAAGTTAACTGATGTATGTTACCTATCTTCGCTGGATAGCATCGGTAGAATTCAGAAGCGTAAGCGGATTTCGATATAGCGAAATTTGCCAGTTTGGTCTTCAATCGTAGTTTATGTTCTCTAAAAACCGTTTAAATATATTATCTTTTTAATTCCCCTGCAAAAAAACCAAAGATATCATTTTTTTTTCAACAAATGATATATTCACTGCGATCTACCGCATTCCACCAAAGCAAACAAATAATACAAATTTAAATGTATAAAAACGTATAACAGATTCAATATCATAAATAATTTAATCATCCAACATTCAAAAATAACTTAAAAATATATACATAAACTTATTATTGAATTACTTAACTCTATATTAATTATTAAGTCACTAAATATTGTAGACACTTTGACTTTTAACGAATTATGAATGTGTGTAAGAAAGGGGCCTAGTACGAAAATTTGAAAGAAAGTATTCGTAAATTTTTACTTATAAGATTTGTCGTACTTTACCGCCCGATACAAATATAATACAAATTTTCTCTTTGATATTACGAATACATTCTAGAACATTTTCGTGCTAGGTTCCCTGAACAGACAGCGATCGTAACTTTTAACATCAATTTTAGTTTTTTTTTAAATTACCAGCTTTCAATAGTCATCAATTATTTAATTTAGGTGTTATACCTATCAATAACTCAACGTGTTATTTCGATGATTGCGCGTACAATTAGGTCATCGGACGTTTCGCACATACGTGTACCGGCCATAGACAAATTAGCGAAAATTAAACTTCAACCTCGGGTAAGTTTACGAGTTGTAAAACTGTATCGCGACTGATCACAAGGTCGTGAATTTAGGTTAGGAGATTTATTAAAGAAGAAAATTACAGTTATCAACTGTACATTTTATATTCGCGAAGTTAATATCGCGTGTTTTAATCAAATTAGTTTACTGAGGATGAGTACTTCTTTCTGGATTGTCAACTAGGTCAACAGTGCTATAGTATTTCAACAAAATTTTGAGCTAATTTTTTTTTTTTAAATCTTAAGCTCACTGTTAGCGTAAGTCACCTAAATACCATTCATGTAATGAATAACTGTGTAAGGAATTTAGGTGTGGTACAAATAAAGCTTTTCGTTTCTTTACAAGGAGTTTATTTTTTTTCCCTTTTATTCAAAGAACATAATTTGTTTGTAGAAGCACTGTGTAAACATTCGGCGCGACTTTGGACGTTCGCTTGCGATATTATTAGATTCTAGTGATGTGACGTTGCAATCGTAAGCTATTTTCGATTATAATATGAACTTAAAAAGTCACATCGGCCAAAAAGTTCGCGTGCGACAGTTCGGAATGTAAAAACTAAGAATCGACTCGATAAAGACGGTAATCCCTATATATACGCGGCCGGAGACCGCATCTCCAATAGGTACGTTTTATACGATGTACTCACTGCTATATAAAACCTGAGTGAGAGCCAAAATCTAAATTTAAAGGCCGAAGCGAGCCGAAACGCACCGAAGCCGCCCGCCCGCCTCAGTCCATCGCCAACTGCCGCCCCGACATTCCCGAACGTCGCGACCGAACGCGCGCTACCCGACGAATCCGCTCGCAGTCGCCATCGACACACCGCTCCGTGAAAATTCAAAAAAAGAACAAATTCCAAATTTGGGAACGCGTTCGTGTTTAAAGTGAAAACTTATTTTTTTTTATTATCGTGTCAAAGTGACAGTGTGTGGTGGATTTTCGAGTTTTTTCCGTGATACCGGTAAATATGTTTTTTAGTTTTATTTTTTAAAGCTTTAACGATTTCTAATCTGTGGCGTGTAGATAGAGATTAAAAGTATAATCGCTTGCTCTATGATTGATTGACACGTGCCTCCAGCACGAGTGTTGGATTTCAACATGTCTGCCTGCCGTTCCAGAATTATTCAGTGAATATAAATTAGAGCAATGCTTATATTTAACAGTTGCGCAATATTTACGTTGTTTTTTTTCGCTTCCGATAGCTTTATAACCTCAAAAGTTTATAACGACGTTTTGTGAACATCAAATAAATACTTGAATATTTTGTTTAGTTGGTCTTTGGTGTGATTTTATTTACTGCAAAGGTTGTTCCTTTAGCCTAAACCATGAAGATATTGCATTGTTAAAGTCGTATGTTGTGTATTTATAATTTTTTTGTGTTTACTCACCAAATGGATGATTACAGTTAATCATATAATCCGCATAACGATTTTGCATCTACCCTACTCTTACTATCAAGTTTTTTACCACGACTTCATAAGTGAGGATGATAATGTTAAGTAGGTACTTCTTAAATATTTCTTCATCTTGCTTCAAACTGTGTTGTAAATAAGCCGTATTTAACATGTTTTCAATATGAAAATGTCGGGCTGCTGTTAACTTAGAAATGATTTTCAAGATGAGATAGTTTATCATGACTTTAAACAATCATTTACTTAAAATAGTAATTATAAACAAAAGAGAAAATGGTTAGTTCAATTCTCTTTTTGTTACTTGATTTGTAACTTAGCGTTGTTGAGCACGCATGTTAGTTGTTTTATATTACGATGGGTTCCGCATTGCGTCTTGAATTTTAATGATGAATTATCGAAATGTTACTGGATAGACTACATTCTTTATTGATTTATGAATAATACTTACTATATTAGTATTTTAGTGTTTTTATTACCAATCATAAATAAATCCAAAACATTTCCTTCGCTTTATCAATAATTTTCTTTTTTATCCGTTTCTCTTTTTTACTTCGACTTGTTATCCTTAAATTCATTATACATTCTAAATTCACCGGCCATATAAGCATTTACAGAAGATTTTGTTAAATATTTCACAATATCTGTTAAGAGTTATATCTTCTTGAAATGAACTTTAAAATAAAGATTATTTTAAAAGAAGAAATTCACTAATGATATACATATTATACAAAATGTATTTAATTGTTTTATCAATAATTTAGGTGCTCGTATTATCACGATTAATTCTTTCTTCTCTCAAAAAAAATGAACGTATTTTTTGGTGCTTACGTACATTATTCTGTGCGAGTACTCTAACGAGTATTATGTGTTTATTGTTATGTTCTTTATATTATATCTAACTCCAATTATGTGCACGCAATAAAGTTTTACTTGTGACTACAACAAATTGTGTTTTGACAACGAAATATATAACGATTGTTGGTGTGCGCTTGTAAAAGAGTTGTCTAAAAATAAAAGTTACAAAATGCCCTTGGCCAAGGCGCCTAGAGGTTGGCGATCGGCGACCAATGCTCAGGGCTGCCAAATACATTGGGATAATGACAGAGAAAAAGAAGTCACAGAAAAACTATTGCCAAAGTGCTTAAAGTTTCTGAAGTTGGGTCTACAATTTTACAGGAAGGCGAAAAGAAAAATTGATGCATGTTGACTGTTAAATTAGAAAGTTAAATCAAATCGAAGGATCAATAGCCTAATGGTTAATGGTTAAGGGTACAGATTTCCGACCACGTGGTCTAGAGCTCGTATTCCGCCATTCCACTATTGTCGTAAACCATATCCTAACACGAACGTAGAGCTTAGGAGGAATGGTACAGGAAATATTAGTTAATTAACAAAAATCTGCTACATATATTAAAAAAAACTTAGTAAGCTTAAATAATTACTAAGTTGTGCACTTAATTTTTGTTTTAATGTCTTCAATATTTAGAAAACTTGGTAACCCAGTGCCCGTGATGCCTTGACTGCTGACGCTAGCACGTCCAACGATACTTGTCTGAACAGCTGCCCAAATCCCCGCGCGTAGTAGTCGCATAGCTCCCCTCAATCACATTGCATAAATCATCTGATTATATTTCGAATAAAGGTGCCTACTAATTAATAAGTGTATTTAGCGAGAAGTTGGTTTGGACATGAATCTTGAAAAATATATTAGACCAAATACATTATTTCAGTCAGAACAAAAAAAGAGAATTACCACGTGTTCATGGGATATGTACAGAGAAGAGTTAGTTTATAATACGTCTCCCTTAAAAGGTGATCAAGGCATCGTGACCTTCAATGCCCTTCCCCTATAGCATAAGCCCCGCTGGTTAAATGTATGCATGTAAAACATTTATCTATTGAAAAATAAAGACTACGATGACACCATGCTAAGTTTAGATCTTTGTTTCTAACTTGAAGTATACAGTATTGTTTTAATTGACGATGTTAAAGTTTCTTAGAAGTAATATTAATAGTAGTTAGGCAATATGTCAATTGCGTTTATCAGCAATGAATCAGGTCCTCTGAATGAAGATGACGGTGTTTACTGTTGGCTGAGATTCGTGCTTATGGAGCCAAAGAGTACGGTTAAAGCGATGATGGAAGATATGCGGTACGTGTCCATTGTTCCGCGCCGGACGCATCTACCGCACGGTTTAAACGGATTTGCTCTGTCTTGATGAGATGCGGACGTCGTGGATAATGGAAGCATCATACAAAGCAAACTAAAATCTGTTGTGGGCAGTGCGTGCGGTGCGTCCGGCGCGGGACAATGGACGCGTACTGGACTCAAATGGACTAAACAGATTTAAGAAATTTCCAAATTATCATTTTTTTTGTTGTAAATAAACAATTCCGTGAAACTTTTTGCTAAAAATCGTCAAAAGAATTTTTTAAATAAAACAATGATGATATTTAACAAATCTTGAATATATTCGAAATAATTTGCGTAGTAATAAAATAAATACTAGACTTTCATAATTCAAAGTTTCATTGAAAATAAAATTGAATTCGATAAATCCAAGATGTCGATTTTTCTAGACGTTGTCAATAGCGCGTGCTGGAGTCAATACACGGTCCGTACTATTCTTGGCGGCCGGTGCACTGATACAAGCGACCGATTTAGATTGAAAAATCACTCCAGTCGAAGAGGCGCATGATGTATGGCTAATTTCGTAATTTTTTTTTTGATTTAATATTACGTCTGTTCGATGTTTAGTAGCGTACGGGGGCGGGACGGCGTCTTATAACCTAAAAGCTAACCTAAAATATAAGCTCTGTGTTACCAGTAAAGGTATTTTACCTTTTAAAAATTTATTAATCAAGAGATGATTGTTTGAATTCTTTTAAAGATATATATTTAGCGTTGGTTTCTGAGACAGAAATCTATATATAAAAAATTGTCATCCCTTTTATTGTCTTTGTCAAAACGGAGATAACAATATGTTTAAATGTATATTTACAAACTAGCATAACAAAAAAGATTATTGGTAACCGATTAATTAAAAGTGTGGGACAAAAATGTCGACATTTGACTATAAATGTGCGTAAGAATGGTTAAAAGTGAATTTGATTGACTAATAAAAGAAAAGACTGATAAGAAGAGTCAATAGCATTCCAATTTTAGAGAGGGATATTAACTAAAATAGATTAGAAGAAGGGCAGAGTGAATAGTACTTTCAATATTAGCATAACTGGTCGACAAAGTAGTTTACTCGTAAATAGGTTAGATGCAGTAATTCTAGTTCTATCTAAAAAGTGATTTGGAGCAACTTTTGTTCCAAGAATAAATAAAAGTTTCGACTTATCACGTGACGGATCTGTATGTGAGCTATACATCGCGCTCAGCTGCCACGGGTATATCATATGTTTGGATAAGGGCATGGACATACGAATATTGATTAACGCTAGCTATGAACTGCAAATAGACTAACAATGCGCTTTTATCCTAACAATTATCTTAAGTATGGAGTTAAACGATATTTATACATTTTATTTTTTATCATCAGCTCACTATATGTCCCCACAGAGGGCTCGGAGCCTACCCTAAGTTAGGGGTGGCTAAACTATTGTCAACCGTACTGGCCCAGTGCGGGTTGACTTCACAAAATATCTTTGAATTTCTTCGCAGTTATGTGCAGATTGCATCACGATGTTTTCCTTCACTGTAAGAACGTCGAATAAATGTAGATATGTAAATCGGTACACGGCATTGGTACACGGCGGAATTCGAACTTGCAGATTGCAAGTCTTGAAACCCTTAAATTCCACTTGAATTTATTTAAATAAATAAATGTGTATTTTATTATTTTTTAAATAACAAGGAAAAACTATAATATAATCTATTTAGCTAGTGTGTTCACACCCTTGCAATCAATTTGGCAGTTTGGCAGCCGCTTTTTTTCCGTGTGCGCTTCATAATCGCAACATTACGTAAGAACGCTAACAAATTTTCATTAGGGTTACCATGTTAATTCGCTAACGATGAAGCCCTGTTAGGAAAATCATACGAGTGCTTTATGGTAGTGCCTGTTCCAGCCGTAAAGCAATATTGCTTATCGAAGTAAGTGCTATTGATTGATGAGTAGGCGTTTCTTTTAAATAAAGTCAAAGGACGATTTGAAGTAAATAAATTGAAAGCAAAATCCTTATCTGGTTTCTCATCTTGTACGTGGTACTTTAAAAATATATAAATCAATGCCATCACATTTGGTTCTGACTGTTGAAAATAAAATTAAGTCAAAATAAATAATATTCATCATAATAGGAGTAAACGAATACATGGAATTTCCGGCATCCTTGCATAGCGTGGTCACCCCATCGGGAATTGGCACGCTTGGAGTATGGCCAGAGAAACTTGCATGTCCCGAACTCTAATTTTTTGCTAGACTTATGGCCGTCTGGCCGGCGGCCATTTTGTTGCCGCGTTAAGAGGTCGATGACTAGAGGCAGGGAGGAACAGGGGCCTTTTAAGTAGCACTATAATTAAATTGCTTAATATTTACAACTTCAGCTGGAATTGTGGTTTTACAATTAAATTAAATTATGTAAGGACACTTTATTTGTTATATCATTTATCTTCTTACGACTTAGGGACTTTTAAGAAGCGAGCATACCATTTCCTTAAAGGGCAGCACCGTCTGCAGTTCCTCTGGTGTTGCAGATGTTCATGGGTGTCGTTGATCACCTCGGTGTACCAGACGCTCGTTTGCCTTCTTTAAAAAAATATGTAAATAAAAATCGTGGAAACAAAGGATGATATTTATGGAAATATTCACGTGCAGCTGGATATAAGATTACGATATTTCCGTTAATCATACTAAACCAGTTTAAGAGGTGAGCCGGTGTAGCATCGTAAGGCTTCGTAGCACGTGTCGTAGTACACGTAGACCCGACGATGGCAAATCCATAAATTAACAAATCAATAAGCTCTTGAGAAGTTAAAAGAAAAAACTTTAAGTCCTCTCAGCGGTTTCAAGTACATTTAAGTTATAACTTAATTAACAAATTGTTATTTGACTTTGACCTTGATTTTCTAAGATGAAACGCTTGTATAAAAACATATTAAAATCCCGATATCGTCATTTAATCTTAAGTGCAGTATTCTTTTATAATCCAGAGATAATATGATGGGAGTGACCAGACATGGACGTCGCCAGCAGTGGCAGAAATTTAATATTTCAAACTTTCGACGTGTTGTTATATCAGAGCACATCATCATATTAAAGTTTAAGCAAACCAAGAAATGATATAATCACACTAGAATATTGTTATGTTTGTTTGTCGAGCATGTGTCCCTGTTGATAGTGAAAAAAGGATGATATACGACGAGTTATGTTGCATGTTCGAAATATCCAGGCGCTGACAATTTTACGACCCGTGTGATATATGTCTGGACGGATTTTAACGAATAAGTTTAACACTTCAAAACCTTGCTAATCTGTTTCTACGTTTTATTATCGCTTGTATTAGATATTTGGGTGAATGGTGAATTTCAGTCTTGTAATTTTCTAGTGTTCGTAAATTGAAATTAATTTCGGGGGATGTTTGTTGTTTGGTTGTGACAGGAAAATATTGTTATGTTCTGCAATAAAAAAACTACTCATATAAATGTTACATAAACGAGAGTAAAATAGCACTTTTAAGTAAACAAATAGGTTATCTTTATATATATAATTCTTCTGTGAGTGTGTATGTCACTGAACTCCTCTCAAACGACTGGACCGATTTTGATGAAATTTTTTGTGTGTGTTCAAGGGGATCTGGGAATGGTTTAGATTCACAATTTTATCCGCTGGACAATGTTTTTTTAATTAATTTTTAATATATTAGTAGTTGTTGATTTTGGAATGTTTTACATTGGATCCGACAGACGGCGCTACCATCGCAGTGTCAAATTTTAAATAATATTCGAATTTTAAACGTCAATTCAATTTCTGAACGTCACGACATGACAACGTCTGTCGGGTCCGCTAGATGTTTATAAATCCTTACTTGGTTATTGGTGATTCTGTCTACATAACAAAGATAACAATATATACATACTAGCTGTCGCCCGCGACTCCGTCCGCGTGTTTGTCTAAAAAATAAAAAATAAAAATTTTGGAGTGAACTACCCTTAACATTTAGGGCAATGAAAAATAGATGTTGTCCGATTCTCAGACCTAGTCAATATGCTCACAAAATTTCATGAGAATCGATCAATCCGTTTCGCAGGAGTATGGGAACGAAAATTGTGACACGAGAATTTTATATATAAGATATATATTTTTTTGAGGGAAAAATCAACGTTATTCTTAATATAAAGTGTTTTTTAAACTCCTATTGTTCGTCACCTTGACACAGAAAATGGTACATCTTTAACCTAGCGAATAAGAACGCTGATATTTAGAATTAACTTCGACAAGACGACACAAATACACATCTGGTGACCGAATTAATATTCCCATTTAACTATTAAATAAGTAACTAAATGCTTCAAATGTCGGAAAGCGTTTTTTTTTGCGAAAATATATATAAATATGTTTGTTCTTTGATCCTATATTGTTAGGGAGAAGAGATATGGCGTCTAATACAGTAACGACCATTGGCGATGCTCCAGAAATATTTATTTAATAGTTATGTCTTTCAAAATCGACTGCAAGAGGCTTGCAACTGCGTCAAGGCTGTTGTACGCATTATTTAACTTTAGTGTAAATAAATTTTGCGATAATATGTTTGTCAGTTGTTTAGTTGAGACCTGTTATCTTTGAGTCTAACTCAAATACTACTGGTCATTTGGAATCTTAAGAAAAAAAAGGATCTTGATAGACACACAGATGGACGGATAACACAGTGATCCTATAAGGGTTCCATTTTGTCCTATCGAGGTACGGAACACTAAGAAAAATAATTGTAAAGTTTTTTATAGGGAGAAATAATTATGCAAAAACTACGTTTAAAGTTATTAAAACGCGAACATATTATCGTCATAATACATGTCAGAGGCACAGAGCTTACCGAAGGTTAGGTGACGAGACCATAGTAAGCTACGTTGGCCCAGTGCGGGTTAACTTCACATATAATTTTGACTTTCTTCACAGATATGTGCAGATTACATCATCATATTTGCCTTCACCGCCAGGACGTCGTATACAAAAATTGGATAACATTTGTATATGGCGGGGATCACATCTATACGTTAAGATTTCGGTCTGGACCGGCCAAACGCTAAACAACTGCGGCACCGTTGCGGACTCTCTTATACATTTATGGAATAAATAATTCGTATCAAATCCTTTAGGCTTAGTAACAAATATATAATTATATTCTCTTCTTAATATGAATTATAATAAATAATGTATCTTATCTTTCTATTACACTTAGTATGCTGTGTCGGGTTCTTAGGTTTTTTTTTACGTTTTATAAGCTAGCGCTTGACCACTATCCCACCTGATGAAGTGGAGATTTGGTCGAAAGATGGTACGCGCTAGCGTAGTATGTGCCTATTCACTCTACTTTTGAAGGTCCCAATATCATATTTGGACGGAAAAACAGAGGCTGGCAACTTGTTCCAATCCTTTGCGGTAACAAGGAACGATGCTTCGAATCGCTTCGTTCGAACGCGCGGTACCTCTACCACAAAAGGATGGATTCTTGCCGTATGACTGAACGTCCGGTGGTAAAATGGTGATGGGGGAATCTCGTGTAATTCCTGCGCACACTTAGGTCCTAGGTTTCCTTCTTCATCAGATATTTCTCTAATAACATAAGAATTTATCTACCACAAGCAAAACACTGATGGTTAGTTTATAATCGCATATGGGAGCTAATTTACACATTACTTCGTCTAACGACGCTAGTTGGTTGCAAAATAAAACTCTAAAAAACAATTCTTTGAATCAAACACTAATAAAAAACAAAGAAATAAAAATTCCGATGTCTGAATAACCTGCAAAGATAACCTGCTATCATTTCATAAGAGTAACACTTATGAATCGTTTCGAACCTAATAAAAGGTGGCCATCTGCTAAACGTCAGCGGCCATCTTGATTCTTGACTGAACTCAGTCTACCCTTTTGTAGGGAGGAACGCAAATAGATTCGCCCACAATTGGCACACGAATCTGTATTTAGATATTGAAAATTGTATTTAATTACATGAATAACAATTTCGCTTTCCATTTTCAATGAAAACTCTTTCCTTAGATTTTCATCTTTAAATAATCATCATGTGTATATTGCCGTTTTGTGTCCTCGGCATTGTTTAAATTATCTTCGAAATTGATACAATCGCGCGCAGAATTCATCTTTTTTGTAAATTATTTGTAGTATGTTCCTCAATTTTAACATCGTTTTTTGTATTGTTGCAGCGATGCCGATACGTGTGTGACACACAGGGTTGACTTGTCTCAATCCTCGCGATGTCACAGCAGCCGCATGGGAGGGGGCGCGCGCGGGCGCCTTCCCCCTCCTCGCTACACTACCGGCCCCCCTCACCTTGGGCGCCCAGCCCACCTCCCCTAATCTCCGGCCCGCGCCATTCCACCGCGCTCGTCTCCCCACCCCCGGTGCAGCCCTCCCCAAAACCTTTCCGTCCCCTTCACTCCCCCCACTTCCGACCTCACTCTCCCTCCCCGAGTTCCCATTTCTCCATCTCCCCCTACCCAATGTCCCCGACCCTGGGTCAGAGTCCCGAGTACTACTACTCGTCCCCCTACGAACCGATTCGGGAATATGACTACGCGGGCCCGGAGCCACCGCCACCACCGCGTCCTATGATCTTCGAGGAGGAGGAGGAAGATCGCGGTCCTTCCACCGCGGAGATCATCGCCAACCAGTCGCAGGAGGGCTACGTGGATGAGAAGCTCGCGGAGTACCAGGCCACCATACAACTCCTACAAGGTAAGATTTGAATTTAACAATTTGCGGAACATATGACCATTCTTCGTCTTTAAGTACCGTCTTCTTTCGAAAGCAATCTTAATATGGAAACAGCGGCTTTGAAAAGCAAACAAGTGCTTCTTCTAAACGACTGGCATAGCTTCCTGAGTCAGTATTCTATGATTATACTGCAACTCATTTAAAATCTCTGTTAAACTTAGTGTTTAAAAGAATAACGCTCGATACGGTCTATTGGAACATGCGAAGTACACTGCATTCCTGTGCACACGATCTCGGTGTCACCTTTATGAGTCATTAACGTTTCGGCGAACATAAGTATTTCGGGATTGTTGTAAACAAGGGCGATGCATTTAATAGATTAACTATTTATATATTCAATGTTTATTTAAACAAACACATCTCACAATTATCAAAACATTTTCAGTTTGTTTTCATCCTTTAGGCTTATTTCGTATACATTTTTGTTTTAAAAAGGTTGCTATTATAATTTTGTGATATCTTAAAAAAATTAAAACTACTTATTTAATTTTGTTTTTAATATCCTGTTTGAAGTATTAGCTTTTACAGTCCAGTTCTCAGTTTTGTTTACTCATTTACGATTTAACTAAAGAGTCTTACTGTTTAGTTTATACTGCGCTGTTAAATTGTGTAAACGGCTTAAGAATACTCTTTTCTCCTATTCTGTGGCTATAAAACGGTAAACGACTAAAAAAGTAAGATTAACTTTATCTTGAAAGCACGTTGTTAGTATTGCGAATCCATTGAATATCGCGTCACAAACGTTTTAGTAAAATTGATTACAGTTTGAGGGAAGCTCCGGACAGCCTTGGGCTAAATCTGTCTGTCGGAAATAAAAACGGCTCGCGACCGATGCTTCGAATACACTGGTGGCCTGAATCTGGTTATTTTTATTGTAAAATAGGTTTTTCTTAGGATAGGACATAGAAGTTGCTTGTGAATTGTGGAACGTACAAGACGTCAAATTAAAAAAAATATTAAAGGAATTATATTCATATTTAGCGCCATTCTGAATAGACTACGGTTTGTACATTGTATAAACCTCTGGTGGTCTAAATGGATAGGCGATTGCTTGGAAATGACAGCTTTTGTGTCGTACTGATTTAAACAAGCACTTGAACTTACGCGACAGTTAATTCTATCTATATTATTACTTCGAATCCATACCACCGCTACAAACAGTTACTATAAATGCCAAAATGGAGTATATCAAATGAGCACAAAATACTACGTCTTTTGGCCAGTCTATTTAGTCAGTGATGCCGTTCCTCCGTAGAGAAAAGGGCAGTAAGATTATGATGAAGCTTATGTTATAGTTTAGGGTGACACGGTCCGGTAACGTTGGTGTTGAGCCAAAAGCGATAATTCTCCGGGCGTGGCTGATGCCTTCACACGACAAAACGACAGACATGTGATTGGTGAGCTCAACATGTCAATCAGGCGCTTTGAATACAGTTTTTTTTTATCAAAGCCACGAAGCAAAAAGTTCTTATATCTATTTAGATAAAAGAACGATGCGAAAAGATATTTCATCAAGAGATATTGAACATTCTAGATTTGCCGAGCTCGGTGTGCTCAGTATGGTGAAGCAGGATTTTCAGACGGGCCACCGCCTATAACTTTGTAAGCCGCGAGTGAGGAATACTGTTCCTCTGGTGTTGCGGATGAACATAGGTGTCCCATGGGGTCTTGTTTTGGATGTTGGGTTTGGATGGGTTGGCCCTTTTCTCTTATAAAAAAAAAGTTCTATAAGGCATGATAGTCGATTTGGGATACTGAAGAAGAGGTTAGATTAACAAATATTTTGGAAGCAATTCGTATTATAGAACAGTAAGTGCGAGGTAGCACCGGATGTGATATTTTCTCTTTCAAATTCTAACACTTTGAAAAATATTTAGGTCGCACGTCACTACTGAGAATTGAGTATTCTCTTATTCGTTCTGTTATAAAATTTAGGTTAAATTTCGATATTGTGATTAAATATTTCCATTAAATAGTACAGTTAATTCTTATTTATTGAGGACTTATTATTCATCAGGGTTTTCGCAAAACTTTCTGCCTCGCACTACCGTGTTGTGGAATAGTTGACGTCATTTTCAAACTGCTATGTTCTTAGGTACCTTTCTCTTGAAGTCTGTGTCATCTGCAATTTTTCTGGAGTTGCGGATGTCCATGGACAACGGTGACCTTTTTTAAATAAAGATCCTGCTCGTTTACTCCTTATAAAAAAATTAAGAAATGAACAAGTTAAAGAAAAGTAAAAAGGGATTTTATAGGCTTTTTACTTTGAAATCTCGTGACGCATTCAATTCAAAAAGTAACAAAGTAATTAAGAAATAATATTCGTATCATTGTTACTTGTAACTTTCTGAATCATACGGAATTTGAATACATTACGAAAGCATAATGTTTTCGACTATAGTTTCCGCTTATTCCGGTCCTGTATAACGATGCAGATACGAGAATAGAACGATATCGTTTGGCAACAGGAAGCCCGGTGCACGCCGCGCCCGAATCTGGCACAAGGTGGATGATCTCAGTGGTTCAGTGTTACGACTGACGTACGCACATATATACAAGCGTGGATGTATACATGAATATTATTTTGAACTCGCACCTTGACGATTGTGACAGGTCTGATTGTTTAGAACCAGCTGCCTAAAGGTAAACGCACAAGTGTACGGTTTCATTTCACAAACAAATCGAATTCATCATTACAATGATGAGTTTACACTGTCGAAACCCTTGTACAAAAACGTGTCGGAGTATCATAATGTGAGATAGAAAAAAAGTTGAATTTGGTAGTACATGACTGGTTGGTACACTGACCCCTAGACACGCGGCCCTCAAAACAATATTACCGTTGACTTCATTAAGGTTACGACCTTATTGTACGTTGGCAGATCGTCAACTGAGGAACGCCGGCGCCCCTCATGCTGATCCCAATAGCAAGAGCCAATCGCCATTTACAACGGCGTCATCGTCACATAAAACGAAGCATCAGTCTCTTCCCAGGAAACTAAAATATCAATCCTTTTTCAATTCATTCTTGTTACAAGTTGATATAGACATTTAAAATTAGAGCTTTTATTCTTTTGTTTCTATAAAAAAAACCTTAATTTATATTAGTAATATTTTCTCTATTTCTAAATATAATAAGTTTATGGGTTTTCTTAGTTTGGTAAACGGGATACCCATGAACGTAAACGTCAATAACGTAAAGCAACAATAATAAAACGCAATCTTGCTACGCACGAAATATATTAAAATAAAGGGGCACGGTATTACAATAAATTCACTCTCAGTATTTTATATTCGACGTATCGTGTTCGCGCCCTGTCTATGTCGCGAGAAAACGCGGGAGCCAATCCCAGTGCGAGATTTAGCTCCCAGGCTTTTGCGCCACAAGTTCGTCTGCAAGTTGTCGCATTTTATGAAGTTTGTACTGTCTTAGAATCGTGTGTATGCGCATTGTCTCTTCGGTTTGAATGCGTACTTTAGTGATTCCAACATTTATATTATTTTGTCTATCCTTTTCACATGTGTTCGTTCTATCTGTCGCTAAGATTAATAACAGTCGCCGTGTGATAACACACGATCTTGGACCAAATATATTTGGTCCAGCTGATCTTTTCTGTTGACGTCACCCGCCCCCGTCTCTGTCCCGCGAGCGTCATAAGAATCCTAATAAATGGATACAGAACATTGGTTGAAATGTTTCTAGTACATTCCACATTTTAGTACACTCGACATTTGGTTTCACTCAAGTTTAATATTTTGAGCATCATTTACTTGACTTTTGATAAATAGTTTTATTTAACTTTCTCTATTTAATTGGGTTAAAGTAAGTCAATTAAATTAAACCAAGTTCCTTTTGATAGATTGATCTGTTTGATATTACAATATTTGTTCTGATGACAAAACAAGGATATGCGTAGGAAGGGGGTAGATTTGGATATGACGGCTGATAGAGATGTATGGAGGAGTATATACTGTGCCGACCCCCAATAGGGATTAGGACAGGTTGATGATGATGATGTTCTGATGACAAAACAATATACGCCACGCCATGGCATACATCATGATGTATACTAAAGTGAACTCGTAGGGCGAGTCGGTGGCATTGAAAGTGTTAAAATTTTCAAAAATGAAGTTATAGAAGTTGTTATCGATTCGTTTTAATCGTATAATTTCCTTCAAATCAAATCTTGTCTATTAGTCTTATATATCATTTGATTAACTAGACTGGACTCGAACCCGCAGATCGCAAATAACCGCGGCTGTACCCACGCTTGCGTCTCGCGCGTAGATCCGATGCTATATTAAACTTCATTATATTTAAACACAACTCATCTCTATTTAAAACTTTGGATTTTCAATTCGTGTGCACCGATAGATTGGACGTCATATTTGATAGAAATTTATGCTGTATTATGTTGGTTTTAGAGATAGTTTCGCTTGATGTGCGATCAAAGCTTAGTTATTGAATGTTTTGATAGGCGATGTGTAGACAACCACACCGACGATCAATCTTAACTATGTATAAAATGAATAATGAAAGTAAACACTTTTACACGAAAGCAACGAACTGTGAACTACATATTTCTAGATGCGCTAAGCTCTTGTTGTCAAATTCATAATTATGTTAAAGCTACATCTGTTTTTGCTTTGGTCTGATCTATTGTATATATATTCGTGTTACTAGCCTCATCTAGGAAATAAGAAAAATAATTTGTGAGTACAAATATCTGTTATTTCCATACAGAAACTTTGGTGATACTACAGCTTTTATCTGAAGTTACCGTATTAGTGTTCTTATTAGAGATTCTGTCTGTTCCTCCAACAGCGTGACATGGAATGTATCTGTCACGTGTGGACGTCTCGTCACGTCAATCACACGCGTCCCGCTGCGTGCTTCCTCAAACTGCTACAGATTTAGACCGACCAGGACATTGACCTCTTCTACTTCGATTATTTGAAGA